CCTCTGTTCTTGCTGACATAGTTGCGAGACGTTCTTTTTTGCATGTTTTGTGTAAAGAGAAACTGTAGTGCGAACTTTTGTTAAACCCTCCTGACAGCAACAACGTGGTTGACAAAGCGGATGTGGGCATGCTCATATGAGACGAAGGTTTTTCCAGTCTTTGGGGCGGTGCAAGGATAAAAATATGCAATTTTCATCATGAAAACATGTCAATGAGAGCAAATTTCAGCACATCTGGCGAGGTATAAATCAACCTCAACTAAGGAGTAACTCAGGAAACCCAAGCCAGCCCTAACTATAGGATTTATCATAAAGTCTTAATTCTCATCTTAAAAGTAGACAGTGTCCGCCTCATGGACAGAAACTGGAAGTTGGTTCCACAAGAGAACCTGACCTCTGAAAGTTCTGCCTCCCATCCTTTTGGAAACTCTAGGAACCACAAGTAAACCTGCAGTCTGGGAGACAATGGGGTTGGTTTCCTCAAAAAAAAAAAAACCATCAGTAAATGTGGCCAGTGTCTTTCATCAGCTTTCTTGGATTCTGACTATGTGACAAATTCTTCATCTTTTACAATTTTTAAAATGTTTTGGTTTAAATATTTGCCAGTAATATGAAAGTTGCATAATCCTAATAAATCTCTACATGTTCTCTCTCTGTTTTTACAGAATAAATGCAGCTGATCTTTAAATCCTTTATTAGCAACTTATTGACAATTATTTCTTGATTTAACAGTGAGTTTATCCTGTAAAAAAAAAAACAGAAGAATATTTTAAAAAACAAAATCTTGAAACTTTTTTTTAACTTGAGCTCTGCACAACAGGGACAATGAGGTGGACGGAGCCTGATCCAGATGTGGATTTTAGTAGATGACAGGTAAACAGCAAAACATGTGAGAACAGCAAAAAAACATTTTAATTTATTTTCAGTTAAAACAACGAGTGCAGTTGATTCTGGAGGAACATTTAACCCGTATGTTTGTGAAAGAAATGGAAGATAAAAAGCAACAAGCTAAAAAATTTGTTAACAAAAAAAAAAAGTCTTCAATAGCAAAATGTCCACACAACAGAGAAAACCTCTGCTCGTTTATGTAAAATGCACAAACCTCTCCGACGCTCATGCTGCAGCTGTGCATTTGTGTCACACCAAGTCTTCTGGGGACGTGCACGTTTCTAACAGCTGACTGCTGTCAGAAACATGCGGTGTTGGAGATGACCGACGCTCAGGCCCATCAGACCTCGAAGCATTTTAAAATCAATATCATTTAATTTTCTGAGTTTCACAAGAAGCCAGCGGAGGAGGGTTCATGCAGCTGCGGTCTTCCTCTCCTTGTGTGTGGCCATCATCTTCTTGATCTCAGCGATCGCCTTTCCCGGGTTCAGCCCCTGTGAACAAGAACAGAGAAACATTTAGACATGTTGACCGAGGGGAACGTCATGCACGGATTACATCAAGCACGGCAGGCAGGCTGTGGAAAGAAGAACATAAAGCAGCACAAAACCCAGTTCTGATATTTGAGTTTTCCTTCTGCCATCAGAAACTGATCTGAATTAACACCCTGAAGAAACTCAGGATTTATTTCCATCTACTTTTGTTCCCCGGGAACCAGAGGTCCAGATTTTACAACTGCCTGATTAATGTGAAATAATATTTCAGTTCTCTGATGTTCAAAATAAATCCACCAGCTGCCATCATGAGTGAAAAAACCCACACCAGTGTCAACAGTGACTCACCCAAACATCAGTTTTTATTTTTTTCTTTGTGTCCCTGTGTTTTATTCAGACTAAGGGAAATGTCACCGTTTTGAAAACAGCAGTAATTTTATTATTTCTAACATGCAGCTGTAAATCCAAAAGAACCAGGTCAAAACTACATTAAAATCTGGAAATACTTTAACATTCATCACATTTTACTAATTTCACCTGCCTACAAAAACAAATTCAATATACAGCTGTATTATAAACATGGATGTAAAGTATGCTTTATAAATGATAGTTTTAAAGACATTTATGTTTAAATGTAAAAAAAAAAAAGTGAAATTACAGCCGTTTTCTTAGTAAGAGCGTTCCTTTTGTTAATAAAAATAAAATAAAACTACATTTTAAACAAAAAAATGTTCTGAAATTATTATTTTAAGTTGAACAAACACACACAAGATTTAATGGCAAATTATAGAGAAATCACAAAATGCAAGAAATTATTAAGCAGCAATAAATGGTAAACAAGTGGAGGAGTTTGTTAACATGATACTGGAAATAATCTGGAATTGTCGTCTTACATGTCCTGTACCAGTTTAACATACTTCTCCACTCCAGATTTCCCCATACAACACAGTACCTCCTCCCTCGGCACCCTGTCATATGCTCTTTCTAGATCCACAAAGACACAATGGAGTTCTTTCTGACCCTCTCTGTACTTCTCCATCAGCATCCTCAAAGCAAAGATGGCATCTGTGCTGCTCCCCTAGTATGAACCCATACTGCTGCTCACAAATTGTCACCTCTTCCAAGTCCATCTTCCACAACTCTCTCCCAGAGCTTCATCGTTTGGCTCGTCAACTTAATTAAACCTTCAAATTAAGATTGAAAGTCTGAATTGTAGTATTATCGTTATACTGTATATGCTTTTCATCAGTTGCAAATTAGTACTTAAGTAAAAGAGCAATTATGCCATTTGTTGCTGCTCCTCAACCTTCAATAAGCATAAAACTATCCATGCAAACAATCTGTGCATGTTAAACTTCAGCCTATATGTGTTTATGCACATTTTCCTTCAATCACATCAGAAAAACACAAATAAAACAGCTGCGGCTGTGTATGAACACGTCACCTTTGGGCAGGTCCTGGTGCAGTTCATGATGGTGTGGCAGCGATAGACAGAGAAAGGATCCTGCAGCTTGGACAGACGTTCCTCCGTGAACTCGTCCCTCGAGTCGATCATCCAACGATACGCCTGAAATACGACGACACGCGTTACTCAAGCACAAGAAGCTGTTCTGAACTAAAAAAAAAAAGAAGAGTTGGAAATGTTTATACGTACCTGCATGAGCACAGCCGGCCCAAGATATTTGTCTCCGTTCCACCAGTAGCTTGGACAGCTGGTACTGCAACAGGCGCACAGAATACACTCATACAGGCCGTCCTGCACGAGGAACAAAACACAGAATGTTTATGGTGTTCGTCTTCAAACTCCAGTACTTCTGCCTGGTGGTGTCGTACCAGCTTCTGTCTGTCCTCCACAGACTGCAGGTACTGCTCCTTGCCTTCCTTTGACTCGTCCCTCTTCTTCAGGTATGGTTCAATGGACTTATACTGAGCGTAGAAGTTACTCAAGTCCTGTAAACGCAACACAATGAATATCATCAAGTCCGACTACAAATGTCAGAATAAAACCTAACACACGGTCATCTGATCTGATGTAGTATTTCATTCTTTCTGACTGTGTTTATGCTTGTTTTTTTATTATTCTGCGACATTTGACACAAGATGATCTGATTTAGTATTTCATTGTTTCCAATTATGTTTTTATATTTTTATTCCATATGCTGGAATTATATCTTGTTACTTTTTATTTGACACTGTGATCTTTTTGTTAAGCGCTTTGGAAACAGTTTCTGTTTTAAATGTGCTATATAAATAAATCTGACTGGACTAGAAATGTCGGTCACTGGTGCCCATTCAGCCATCGCCGCGCGAGAGGTGGGGGACACCCTGGACAGATCTCCAGTCCATCACAGGGACACATTGAGACAAACGAGACAAACAACCATTCCCTCTCTCACTCACACCTAGGGACAATTTAGTTACCAATCAGTCTAACGCGCAAGTTTTTGGTGTGTGGGAGGAAACCAGAGAACTCAGAGAAAGCCCAGGTGGAACTTATTAATCTGATAATAAATAAACAACTTAAAACTTACGTGGTTTTGACCACGTGGAGAAAATAAGTCACAATTCCTAAAAGCTGATCATGAATGAAGCTTCTCAGGGTGACTCATAATTTGGGACTTTTTACTCACAGGCACCAGGTCCTTGACAACATACATGTGTGGCAGAGGGTAAATCTTCGTGGGCTTGTTAATGTTGATGTCAATCTTGTTGAGACACGCAAGCGTGTTTGTTCCATTTATATTCATTGCACAGGATCCACAAATACCTGGTTAACGCAAAGTAACAACATTTAGTCTAACTTCTGCAACAATCCGAAGATAAAAAACATAATTTTGTGACAACAGAAGACATGACTTGAACTTTCATAATTTATTTATTTATTGCCCTTATACGATACCGACCTTCTCTGCAGGAGCGGCGGAAGGTCAGAGTGGCGTCCATCTCATTTTTAATCTTGATGAGGGCGTCGAGAACCATTGGGCCACAACTACCGTTAGATCAAGAAAATGACCATTAACAGAAAATGTCTGATGATTTATTTAATAATTAAACAGAAATATATTTTTGCAGCGTCATGCTGACAGATGCAGGCTGAGTGTTTATCAGAGCTGATTAAAGTCACCAAATTGTAAGAGTTCATTGTGTTGAATCCAACTGAGGACTGAACTCTGTTCATCAGTAAAACCAATAAAAATGGCATGGCAATAAAAAATTGTTTAGCAATTCTGTCGTCATATTGTATGTGATCAAGTTTGAAATGTGTGTTTCAAAACACAGTATGTCTTTTTAAAGACAACACTGCATTCATCTTCACCTCGTCAAGGTTCGATACTGACATTTTACTGATAGAAGAGAAAACTGTCAGTCCACATAATTTTACATTGCAACACAGTTTGGTTTGCAGCTCAAGTAAATGAAGATTTAATATTAAATTCTTAAATAATTAAAAATAAATAAAATGAGAATGCAACTAGAAAATATTCTAAAAGAAGTCTAACAAGGTGAGTCAGATCCTCTGGACAGATTCTTTGTTGAAATGTTTCATCTTTTATCCAAAAGTCTCCTTCAGTCTGAGGAGTTGCAATAGTCTTATATCCTGATGCATGCTCAATAATCCAGGTAGAAAAATCTAAAAAAGTTACATCTGGTCCTCTGGACATTAAAAAACGACAACAAAAAAACAAAAAAAAATTTGTAGAAACATTTCGTCGAAAGACTTCCTCAGTCCGAGGTGCTGTATTCAGCTCAGTCTTATAAAGACTGTGAGAAGGTGCTATTTAGAAGACTGAGCTGAATACAGCACCTCAGACTGAGGAAGTCTTTCGACGAAACGTTTCTACAATTTTTATTTTTTGAATGTCCAGAGGACCTGATTTAACTTTTTTAGAATAGTCTTATAAGCATCACCTACTCATAGTGGATTGTAGATGAACAGATGCTGGGATATATTCATCATTTAACGCGGGTTCCTCATTTTTCTGGACTGAATAAAACGTGCATTGAATTTAAGGAAATGCAAAGTGAGACGTCATTTATATTTGACCCATCAAAATGAATGCGGTCATTTATTTACAGAATCAAATTTAACATCAAACATTTACATTAATTTGGCAAATTATGAAAATAACAATATAAGCAATCAATCAGGAAAAATCATACGGCCATGATTTTTCCGTTGCTGCACCACAGACATTTATAAACTGTACAACTATGATCTTTTACCCACACGGATGTGAATAAGCACTTTACACAGACATTTCTAAATATCTGGGAGAATTTCTACTTGATAGAAAGTTAAAGATGAAAGAAGTTAAAGGGAGTAAGATTGAATGGGAGGGAAGGAATGTTCACCAGAACCGACACTCTCCATCAGAAGCCCAGCTCTCCTTCGGTACGCTTGGTAGGAAACTTGATCCATTACCTTTCTGAAGATTCATCAGCAGATATGGAATTCCGTTAACGCTACCTGTCCAGCGTCTCCTGATGGTGGCTGTAGCTCGTCAGAAGTAGTGGCTAGTGAAAGTTATAATCCCATGGAACTCGGAAGAGCTTTTTGTCATGTCAAGATCATCCCGTCTCCGACAGAACTCGAACAGAACCAGCAGAAAACTCTCCAGCACTCTCGAACTCTCCAAAAACTCTAGAAGTCTGACAACTCTCCAACTCCGTGTAGACCAGGAAGTACTGACATTTTAAAGACTCTTTCCCGGTTCACTTTTTGGGATTTGTTCATTGGTCAGAAACGACCAGACGGGGTGGGTTTTGTGACGTAAGAGGTTAGAGACAGCGAGAATTGTTATGAGACAGATCAGAAATGTTCTCACAGACCGAGAGGGTTTTGTTTTGGCGTGTTTCAGGAAACAGGTGCAAAACATCTCTACTTACGTCTGAGAGGATTCTAAAACATGACAGTTTTAACATAACAACTTGTTTTTCGTTTGACTGTAACCTTGTAAACGCACACACTTGCTCATTCAAAGGCAGAAATCAGAAAATGCATAAACTCTGTAACAGCTTTTAACATGAGTTCTAACTTTGCATGAGAATAAAAATCATTACTCAGTTAATAAAATTGATTAGTTCACTGCAACATCTAAAATGGTTTGAACTAAGACACTTTGATTATCAACATTTGAACAATAGTAATGATAATAAAAAGAGAGTGTTCTTTTCACTTGAATCTTCAAGAAAGAAAGTCTCAGGATGGGTGAACCTGTATTTATGTATTCAAATACATGAAATGACAGTTCCTGTCCCACAAGGTTCTAAAGGTCAAGAGTTTTGACCTTAGACTTAGTTTCGACGTAGGCCTAGTCCACTACAGTATTAACCAGTTTGCTGGGAGCAGCAAAATTAGTTGTTCACATGCAAAAGGAGGACCATCGACCATCGGCCTAACAATTGATCGTTACTGCCCTGATGGTCGCTTGCTATTCACAGAGGGCTGAGTCATACTAGCAATAACAGCATTGTATGAGGGGGACAGTTGGACACGGAGGCCTCCACCCCGGTTTAACTATGGATGGGTTATTTTCACAAAGATGGCTTATTTCACTCTATCAAACCAATGTTCCTCTCCATCAAGGATGTGAACATCTTCTGAAAGAGTAACCGTTGGCCTGCAAATGACCATAGACCATAGAGTCCTGGCCTGATGATGTTGCTCTTCTGTGCTGGGCCATCCTTTTGGCCAGTGACTGTTTTGTTTTCCCAACACAATATTACACACTTTGTGCCAGGGGGCCGGCTCTTTGGGATGAACCAGTCTTTGTTGTAATGTATTTTGGGATTTAAAAGCCACTGGGACATCATGTTTAGAAAATAAACATCTCAGTTTCTCTGGAACTCCCACAACATATCTCTGTGGTACAGAGTTCTGATGACTCCTAACGTGCTCCAGTGGGTGATGGGAATAGCCCTCTGTGAATAGCAAGAGGCCATCAGGACACGAACCATGGATTGTTAGGCTGATGGTCCTCTTTTTGCATGGGAACAACCAGTTTTGGATGTCACCAGCAAACTGGTTGATCTACCGTGAGAAGGTGCTGTTTATAATAAGAGTTTGTTGCACCTCCTCAGACTGAAGAAGTATTTTGGATAAAAGACGAAACGTTTCAACAGAGAAGAATTCATCCAGAGGACCTGACTCAACCTTATCAGATTTATTTGCCGGAATTATTGAGCATGCACCAGAACATTATAAAAGAAGCTTCAAAAGAGGTGACAACTGCACAGCGCAATGACGATAGAGTAGAACTATCATACAACCAATTGCATAAAGATAATACTGTACTTTTTAAATTATACAAACAAGACTGTACAGCTGTTATGTAATACTATGCATGTTTACCCAGCAGTATCAATTCTACTTATAATAAATGTGCTGGATTCAAACCAAAGTTTACAGTGTTGCCTAATGCCTACTGAGAATTTTTGCCGGTAAGACGTAAACATCACCTAAAAAATGTCAAATGTTTTCTGTTTAACTTTATTTAAATGCATTAATTAAAAATCAAATTGTCTGAAAAGGAAACACACTGGTCAAAATGAGTGCAACTTACTTAATGTAATTGCTTTAAAAAAACAATCATAATAATGTGCAACGCCTACGTGTTGAGGTCAATCTCAAAGGTCTGCATGTGGGGTTTGTCTCCAGGTGTGTCTGGGTCCCATCTGTACACCTGAAACTTCTTTATTCTGGCCTGAACATCTGGAGCAGCTGCTGTCTGGGCGAACCGCATCGCCTTAAAACAAGGTTGAACAGAGAAAACCAACAAAGACAGTCAGGCTGTTGTTCATGTAAAACCACAAACTGGTTGAACTGAAAAAAGAAAGAAAGAAGAAAAGAAAACAGTGTCCCATACAGCTATAGCTAATGGTTAATGCATTAGCTAACGAGCTAACCAATGTTTACAAGTCAAGTGTCGTTTCCAGTTACTTTTTTTACTTCGTAACGTGGCTTCTTATGGTTTAAAATGTGTGAACGACATCAACCTACGAATAAATTGATTTACACAATAAAAAATGTTGTTTAAAGTAATCCAACGTCATCTGGTGGCGCAATCAAGAGGGGAATGCAAACAACAACAACGCTAGAGCACGTAGGCTAGTGTCCAGAACATAGACGGACCCTTCAGAAACAGTCGCTGGTGGGGTTTTGTGCAGGAAAAAGAAACACACAGTTTTAACTGGAAGTGTTTCGTTTGTTATCGGGACAACTTACCAAAGCTCCCGCTGAGGAGCGGAACGCCAAAACACCACAGCGGCTCAAGGACGTGAAACCAGCAAGTGACATTTTTAAAGCTTGTATTTCTCTACTCTGACCTCCACCGCCTTCTACCCAGCATTCAACGCGGCAGCATTATAGGTTCGCAAAGAAGCGCGTATTTTGTTGATCTGCCTGTCCCGAGATTCTATCAATATCGGTATTAAGTTGGCAGTTTTATTTATTATTTCGTATCCTCTTTACCGTATTTGTTTGTATGATTATTTTCTAAATAATTTGAATCTACTTAAAAATATATTTTCGTTTGGGGTAAGGATCCACCGTTTACACCGTCCCGGTTTTCCACGTTCTGGCGTAACCGGAAATAAAAACAAACGTACCCACGCTGCGCTTCTGCAACACAACGTGTTAACCGACATTACTATTCCAGGTGGAGCCCTGCTAAGGTCATTTTAAGCCAGTGCTTCATTTTCTGACGAAATAGATCCTCATGGAATAGACTAAAAGAACGAGAACATGGTGTTTTTAACATTGCCCTGTTGGATCCGCTGCCGTGGACCCGACAGATACTGGAAAGTACAAGCAATTCTCAAACATGCGCGGGTGAGGCTCAGACTATTTTTTGGATTTATGAGGGTTACCCAAACCCGTCTCAATTTTAAACAATATGCTTAAAAACATTATGTGTAGCAGCGTTGTGTGAGCAGCCCATCCAGGTAGTTGCTTCAGCTCTCACTTTTAGCTGACATTTTCCTGTCCGTTTGTCCGAACAGCACTTCAAGGGGAGGAAGAACCGCTGCTACAAGCTGGCTGTGCGGGCTGTCACCAGGGCGTTTGTCTACGCCACTAAATCTCGGAAGCTTAAAAAACGTAACATGAGGACGGTAAGGCCCGACTTCACAGGAACCACGAGGGTTTTAAGTGCAGCAATGCTCCTGCTTTGCGTTGTCTTCCTCCTTCAGCTTCTCCTTCTTCTGGGGTCTCCACAGCGAGTCATCCACCTCCATCTTACTCTGTCCTCACTCCAACATCCTCCATGTCCTCTCTAACTGCATCCATATATCTCCTCTTTGTCTTTTTCCTGGCAGCTGCATCCACACACTGTCCCTCCTCTGGACATGTCCAAACCATCTCAGTCTGACCTCTTTAACTTGCAGTTCTTCAACCTGGGCTGTACCTCTGATGATCTCATTCCTAATCTTATCCATCCTTGTCACTCTTAAGGAGAACCTCAACATCTTCATTTCTGCCACTTCCAGTTCTTTCTCTTGTCTTTTTGTCAATGCCACTGTCTCCAGTCCATACAACATAACTGGTCTCACAACTGTCTTGTAAACGTTTCCATTTGACCTTTGCTGACACCCTTTTGTTGTAAATCATCCCTGAAACTTTTCTCCATCCTGCCTGGACTCTTTTTTTTTTTTTTCACCTCTTTACCACACTCCCCATGTTCCTCCTGGACAGTGGACCCCAAGTACTTGAAGTCCTGCACTTGCTCCTTGTAGCCTCATTGCATCCTCTAAGAAAAGATGACATCTGTGATGCTCTTTCTCGACATAAAACCACACTGCTGCTCACAAATGGTCACCTCTTGTCCAAATCTAGCACATTTTGAGTTGTATCTATATAAAGTTTCATGAAAACAGAGCCTCAACCTGATCCAGATATCTACTCAACAGTGTTAAAATACCTTTTTGGAACTTTGTGAACTTTTTGCGTAACTCATATCTTTGTGGGCTTTTCATACTTTGTCATGTATAAAAGTAGTACCCGTGAAGCCTTTTGGAGTGAAAACAAACAAACAATAAAATGTGCATAGATGCTGCATTTAGAGTCTTCATTTTTAGATCAGATTTAGATTTTAACCAAGGTTTACAGCTATTTTTAGTCCTAATATGCTCAGGAAGTACTGCTTTTATTTAACACAAAAATAACAAAGTGCATTTAAAATTGTAATTATGAGCCCTCTGGCTTATTCGCATAACTCACAGACTTGTGTGCTTGTTTTTTTATTTTGGGTCTTTTTACAAATGAAGTGTTTTTTAAAAAGCCTTTTTAAAGTTTTGTAATTTTTCTTATTGTGTTAAGTACTTAACTGTTTTTAGCAGAATGAGACTTCTGACTTCACAAAGATATGCATATATTAAGTGTAATTTATCCAATGTCTTGTCTTTTTCTTTCTTTCTTTCCAGTTGTGGGTTACTCGAATTGAAGCCGCAACAACAGAGCATGGCATGCCGTATCCTCACTTTATTCGCAACCTATGTGAGGTTCGTTATGTCGGGTGTTTCTACTCTGCACAAGTCACTGTGGCATTAATGCTGCCGGCTCATTCTGCTTCTTTTCCACTCCTTACAGTCCAGCGTTCAGCTCAACCGTCGTGTCCTCAGTGAATTGGCCATCACAGAACCTCGGACTTTCCAGTCGCTGACAAAAATTGCGCAGGCTCGACGACGGGAAGGCCTCTGTGCAGCAGTGGGTGACGGAAAAGAGCCTCCTGGTGTTTTCTCACGTGTTGTGACGCTGCACTAAATGACGTCCTACAACTGCAGAATCCAGCTCGCGTTGAAAGAGGAACACTCTTGGATTGTTGATGTTGATAAATCTCACTTTTTTTTTTATTTGCATAATTTTTTTTATAGTTATCCATGAGCAATGCACCTAATAAAAATCAGCTGAATTTATTCTATCAATGTTCATCAAGTTGGCAGCAGTTTTTTCTATCATTGTCAGACATCATACAGCATTTCTGTAGTTATTTTTAAGTGGTCTTCCACTAATCCCTCTTCATTATTTCCAGTATCACAATAAAGGATGTGAGCATTCATTTCCAACCCAATTTTAACTTTTTAGTTGATGCTGTTTCAACTGAATTTTGACAACTTTGGAAAGTTTGTTTATTTTCTGTGTAATTTTTTTTTTGTCTTGTGGTGAGGTTGTCCTTTTAATTTTAAGCTCAATAAACATGTTGAAATGCAGTAAATTCTTTTGTTCTCTAAATTTATTTTTCAGAAACTTTGTGGGAATATGATTGTTTACTTTAGAGGTACACTACCTTTCATGTCTTTTGTTAGGTCTGAGTGTTTTTTTTTTCTGTATGCTATAAAAAATGTAAGTGAACCCAAGAGCACATAACCAGTGTTGGTTCAAGTGTTCCTCATTGGTTGAAAAAAATCAATCCCAGTGAATAATTTTCTTAATCTGTTATTTAAGGAATCAAAGCAATCTGTAACAAATCCTTAATAGGATTTTCTTTATTTTCAGTCTATTGAGTATTTTAAAAATGTACCAGACTGCTACAAATGAGAGGAAATGACATTTGACATCAACTATTCCAGGTGTAAAATAAAATACAAATCAACTTGTTTCACAAAGCTAAGTTTGATCAATTAAAAACTTTCATGTACTGCAAAACTTTCTTTTGCAGAATATGCAGAAGCAATTATGTGAAGAAATAAACTATTATTTCAGTTTATCCTGTCTGAATCCTAGTTTCAGAAAAGTCGTAAACATGAGTTCCTTTTGGAGATTTCTTCAGTGTAATCAAATCTAACCATCAGAAATTTCCCGTTTTTATACAATTATCTAAAACGACTAATCATGTTTTAATCTAGTTTTATGAATTTTACGTTTTCCTAGCAAAAAAACTGAAACTAGGGCACAATCGTTATACTTTTTTGTGAATGTGATCATATATCTTATATATAAAACAGAACCGGTTTTGTCACAGCAACAGCTAATTTAGTTATATAATGATGTTCATATTGGAATGAAACAATCAATTGCTATATTTGTTCAAATTCACAGGTATGTTGCTTTTTTCTCAGCTTGACGCAACGAGAAGAAATCTTTTTAATCCTTTTCAGCCACCGTACGCTAAGGGTGAGACTCAGGAAGTGACCTCTAGCGAGTGTCCGTTTGAACAACCAATCACAACAGGACGTATTCACACTGAACCAATCAGCGTTGCTCTTGTTCCACTAAACCCATTGCACATGCGCAAATCTATGCGGCGTGACACGCGCGTGAAGAAGGTGCATTGACTGTACTGTAGTGGCCGCCGTGCTCCTCGCTTCACATAGAACCGGCCGAACTGTGCTTTAATTCATTCCGGCGAAAATGTCGTGGCTGTTCGGGTTAAACAAAGGGCAGCCCGAACCGCCTCCTGGTTTACCGGCTCAGCCTCCTCCGCCGCCGGCCGGGGGCTCCAGCGGCGACGGAGATAAACCCAAGGACAAATGGAGCAACTTCGATCCCACCGGGCTGGAGCGGGCTGCTCAGGCGGCCAAGGAGCTGGACAAGTCCCGTAAGTGTTCAGGAGATTCAGCGTGAGCCAAAAGGGCGTCTTCTGTTTTAAACTATGACTATAATGTAGTCTAATAGCTCGCTGGGATTCGAATGTTATGTTCACATGGATTGTCCCCTCAGTGATGCAACAAGCTGAGATTGTCATGTGGTCCTCCTCACTGTCATATATATTTATTTATAACACCAGCAGAATGCATCACACTCATTATATTTAAAGTAATGGAAGCTACAGGCAGAAAATAACCATGCTGCATCTTAGTTCATTCATTAAAACGTGGGGTTCAAAGGTCAATCAGGCTTGCACCCTGCTGCAGGTAAATCCCACCCTGTAACACACTCACCTGACTGCAGGTCATTTCTACAGGTTTAACGTTGTGTCTCGTTTCATTCATGTTTAGGACATGCCAAAGAAGCTCTGGACTTGTCTCGGATGCAGGAGCAAACCTCTCAAATGGAGTACCAGAGTAAAATAAAGGTACATGTAAACGCATGTAATCAAAATTAAATAAAAGTCTGTGGTGTCGTTTTACATCCGCTTGATGGTAAGTAACATCATTTTTATTATTATTATTATTTAACTTCGATCCAAAGTGTTAATTCTGGATACTTAAGTCAGGATGGTGTCACTGGAACCACAAATAAATAGTGACACAAACATAACAGTTTTGTTCTTTATTATAAAAGAGGCAGATACTCTTGTTTCACCAGCTGACATTTTTCTGGGGTCCTAATGAAATGATGGTGACGTCACAACACAAACATAATTTCCTTGTTTACATATAAAACAGTAGACCATGATTACCTAATTTCTTTAATAAACGGGCCTTAAAATGACTGACGACGATATGTTGGCTGCAATCCTAATTCAGATGTTCCTTATGCGTTTATCTTGATGTTAAACATACAGGAAATTAAAATATGCAGGATTAGGAAAATAATTTTGAGAGCTGTTGAACTGTTATATTTACTGTTGTGCTTACAAAGTGCCTGCCTGTTAAGTAAAATATATTACAATAGAGTAAGTTTCTTAAGGCTGCTCCCTCTTCAGAGGTTGCCACAGCACAAAAGATTTGGCAATTATTTACTCTGGATGTCTTTCCAGCCTGGGCTTGAACTCATAACCTTAGGATTGCAAGACTGCGGCACTGACCACCAAGATACCACAGCCCCCAGTTAAGATAAATTACAATAAAGGTGATATAAAAATATATGAGACATATAAAAAACGAGGAGCAATAGTCAATCTTTTTGTTGTTAAACACCGATAAGACCTAACATTAAAACCAGTGACAGGTGACTAACATCTTGTGTTCAACCAGCTTCACACTCCACAGATACGTCTAATGGTGTCTGATTGTCTTTAGGCTGTTTTTGATGTGTTTTTAGTTCTTGTCCTGGCAGAGCAGAGGGATTTTGGTGCAAAACGATGGTCCTCAGAATTGGTCCGGCAGCTGAGAGGACATCCAGTGTGATAATTTCTTAAACAGTGTAACAACTCTTGAAATAATCTTTAGATCCAAGCCAAACGACCTTGACATTTAATAAATAAGCAGTTTTATTATATACATACCAATATTTCCTACCATTATCCAAGGAGGGTGCCCCACCCTGTCAACAGAACTGAGCACCCCAGGCCAGTAATCTAGATGAAGCACTGCAGACATAAAATCTGAGTGCAAGAAAATAAAAACTGATGTACATAATGTTTTGAAAAACTGAAGATTCTTGGCTTCGATCAAACGGTTTTATGATAGTAATTAAATCACTGTGAACAATTCAGCTGCAACTACCGTATTTTCCTGAATATAAGTCGCATCAGCAAAAAAACAAAGCATCATGAAGAGGAAAAAAAACACAAGTGGCTTCGGCGCCCTCCATCCATCGCGGCCGGAGCCACTAGCTCTCCAGGGTTCCTCCGTCTGCACCCGCTGAGTGAAACGAGCGCGCACGGGAGGACTCGTTGTTGCAGTTCTTAAAAATTTAAAGCGTCAGTCAAAAATTGCGTTATGAATATGAAAAATAAAAACCCGCATATAAGTCTCTTCATTGATAAGTCACAGGACTGACAAATCTGTGCAAAAAAACTGACTTATACGCTGGAAAATACAGTATTTACCGGTAGTCCCCAGCTCTTAGGGTTTTAATGTTTGTCAGAGTTTTAATTTTTAATTTGAATCCCAACAGGAGTACGAAGCAGCTGTCGAGCAGCTCAAAGGTGACCAGATTCGCGTCCAGGGAGAAGAGAGGAGGAAAACGCTACAAGAGGAGACCAAGCAGAATCAAGCTGTGAGATGATTTTTTTTTTTTTTTCTAGTATTTGCCTGCTTTGAAAGAGGCTAATTACGGTTTTGTGTGTGTTCACAGAGAGCTCAGTACCAGGATAAGCTGGCTAGACAGCGATATGAGGACCAACTTAGACAACAGGTGAGGTCAAAATCTCCCAGCTTAGCCTAAAATCTTCCTGACAAGAAACAAAACCACAAATTTAACTGTTTTCTGTTTCGTTCTGCAGCAAATTCTGAATGAGGAAAACCTTCGCAAGCAGGAGGAGTCCGTGCACAAACAGGAGGCCATGAGGAAAGGTACCAATCTTCACACGATGTGATCCTTTTAAAAATTCTAGAGCTGAGGTTTCTCATTTTTTTTGTTTTATTTCTGTAGCAACAATAGAGCACGAGATGGAGCTGCGGCACAAAAACGAGCTCATGCGCATCGAGGCCGAGGCGAAAGCTCGTGCTCGCGTGGAGAGGGAGAACGCCGATATAATCCGAGAGCAAATCCGCCTGAAGGCGGCGGAACACCGACAGACCGTCCTGGAATCCATCAAGTAAATTTGACCTTCCTGTGTCTAATGGTGGTAAATGTTTCAGTGTCGAGAGGATTTAAACGCCATCGCCAACGAAACATTACGACTTGAATTTAGTTTAGCACGGCGAGTGTCTGTTTCACCTCATCCACCCTGCAGAGGCGTGTTTGACAGGATGTATTTGCTGTCAGGACTGCAGGTGCTGTGTTTGGAGAAGGATTCAGGGCGTTCGTGTCCGACTGGGACAAAGTTACTGCCACGGTGAGACCTGTTTCTATCAGTTTGGTAAATAATGAGAGAGACAAACGGCTCCAGTTTACGCTGAAGCCTCGCAGTTAATTTGTTATTTGCAAAGCAGATTTTCAAACAAGTTTAAAAGCAAAAACAACGTGACTTCTACTCTGAACTGAGAAAGCTCCTCGGATGAGCAGCGGAACGTGTTCAGCTACAGAAGTCCAGTTGTTTTTGTTTTGAACCTTTTTTTTGGATTGTCCATGTCCTGGATGACTGAGAATCTACACCAGCACAAAGCAGATTTCAGTCCAACCAGAAGTCAAGTTTCACACGCAAACATTTACTTTGCGTCTCTTAAAATCTTTTCAAAGCTTTGGGTCATTAATGTTCTGCATGACCTCAGTTGAAATGTGCCATTTATTGTATTCTTCTCTAGAAAAGGCTAATGGCCCCATCTCACTGAGCTGAGACTTTTCAAGACTAAATGGTGAAAAAAAAATCACAATTTAGAGACAAAGCATGAATTTTCCGATGCATTTCACACCAACTATAAGTGTTTGTGACCAATTGACCATTAAACCAAGTGTACGGTAGGTGCAACTTATTTTCAATGGTTCGGCTTGTAAAACTTCATATCAGCCTGAACATACATTCAGCCAGTTCTGCATGTTTCTGGACCCAGTGCTAAACTTTGTAGGAGAGAGGGCATCCGTCCTGACTTCTTAGGAGTCATGAGTTGTTTTTTTCTCCATCTGCGCTGCTCCAGTACGTGGCAGCTGCAACTTTTTTTAAATGCATGTGATGGAAACTTGCTGTTTTTCATCACACAACACTTCTTACACTTTGAACAGGTCGAAAAAAGTTTTTATGCTGAAAACGAATGTTATAGAGGGGCGTACGTTTCTTTTCAGGAGGGGCGCTGGCCTCGCAAAAAAAAATGAACTTGCATCGTTTTAATAGGAAATTTTTGTTCGAAATACAAATTTACAACCTACAACCTGATGAATGGATGAAATTCATAGATGGTAACGGTTGTATTTGATGTTCACCTCAGCAGCCGCCCTTACATTTATGAGTCAATCAGCTGGAGTACACTATTATAGGCAGGTATGGACCAGATTTTTAAAGTTTATTATTTATTACGAGTGTGGTTTTTAGACCAGGACTACTGCATAGCGTGTTTTCGGTCAGAGGAGAGCTCCTACGCAGATGTCAAAATACAGCTGCAACGACGAATCTGGGACTATTTTTGAGAGAGAAAAAATTGTCTCAAATTTTATGAACATGTCCAAAACTCAAACAATGTTTGACTCACGCAAGGAACTTAAGAACCTCGCAAAGGCAACAAGACACTCTGGAGACATTCACGAAACTCATGAATACTATTTGCAGCTCGATGAGACAAGGTCTTAACCAGTTAAATACTTATCTTTTTCTTTCTTGTGTAATTTTTCCACTTTGTCCCCCTAGGTGGCAGGTCTGACCCTTTTAGCTGTCGGTGTGTATTCAGCTCGAAACGCCACGGCGGTGGCCGGACGTTACATCGAGGCCCGACTTGGAAAACCGTCTCTAGTGAGAGAAACATCCAGATTCACTGTGGGAGAGGCCATCAAGCATCCAATTAAGGTAGTTGACATAAACTGGATTTACATCCGTTATGTTACAGTTAAGTTAACTTTTTTGATCTTCCTCTGCAGACAGTCAGGAGGATGAAGAGTAAACCTCAGGATGCCCTGGAGGGAGTTGTTCTCAGTGTAAGGGAACATGAGCTGTTTATGATGGAAAAACTGCTAGTTTAAACCTTTTTCAGCCACTTGAAACTGTTGAACTTTTCCCTCTGCTAGCCTTCATTGGAAGAGCGTGTGCGTGACATTGCCATAGCAACAAGGAACACAAGGCAGAACCACGGTCTTTACCGGAACATCCTCATGTACGGCCCGCCAGGAACAGGCAAAACGCTGTTCGCTAAGGTACACCTGAGGGCTAACTTCAACTTTTGAGATGAAGGAAACCCAGCGTCTTGTCTAATGACGCACAATTTGTGTTGAGTAGAAGCTGGCAATGCATTCTGGGATGGATTATGCCATCATGACCGGTGGGGATGTTGCACCAATGGGCCGTGATGGCGTTACGGCTATGCACAAAGTTTTTGACTGGTCCAGCACAAGCAGACGCGGGTATGCTACTGATAACACACCTGTGTGAATCTGTGACGTTAGCCTCCATAATTAGGGACTAAACTGAGCAACAGTTTTTATTTATTTTTACTAAAGATTTATGACAATGTGTCGTTTCAGACTGCTGCTGTTTGTTGATGAAGCTGATGCATTCCTTCGCAAAAGAGCCACTGTAAGTCTGCAAGTTTGTAAACTTTTGGAAGATTCCTCAGTCACAGATTTATAGATGTTAAAGAAGTAACCATTAAATGTTGTTTGTTTTGTAGGAAAAAATCAGTGAAGACCTCAGAGCCACTCTGAACGCCTTCTTGTATCGCACTGGTGAACAAAGCAACAAGTGAGGATTCCTTCACATAACTTCATATAGTTTTTATAAAACTATCTCATCTATTTACGTCTGTGCTTTTTTTAAATTTCTTGCAGGTTTATGTTGGTATTGGCCAGTAACCAGCCGGAGCAGTTCGACTGGGCCATTAATGACCGTATAGATGAAATAGTGAATTTTAAGCTGCCGGGTCTCGCAGAGAGGGAGCGACTGGTGCGATTGTACTTTGACAAATATGTGCTGGAGCCAGCCACTGGAGGCAGACAGTAAGTACTGCCCGAACGCTACTTTACTGTAACACGCCACTAACGCAGAGCACGTTGGTAACGCACGGTGATGAAGTGAGCTCTATCTGGCAGGCTATATGAAGTTAAAGATGTAGTAGCTGTATCCAGTCATGTTGAAGTTAATTGAAATAGAAGCTGATCTTTGTGTTTTTGTCTCTGTGAAGGAGGATGAAGCTCGCTCAGTTTGATTATGGTAGAAAGTGCTCGGAGATCGCTAAGAGGACAGAAGGGATGTCGGGAAGAGAGATCTCCAAGCTGGGTGTGGCCTGGCAGGTATGCTTCCTCCAGATGTTGTGGTTGTATGTAAATCCACCACTTAAATGAAACTGGAACTTCTTGAAGAAGTGCATATTGCTTGTTGTATTGCCTGCTAGTTTTAAACAAGATCTGTTGGTTCTCAAAGTACGTGTTGAGGAACCTCTCAGCTACTACCACATCAAGCAAGAGTTCTATAGCCTAACCAGGCTGACTCCTAAAGGTAATCAGTTGTAGAGGTACACTGATTACTTTGAGTTTCATTAAAATCCATCCAGTGGTTCATGTAATATTTTGCTAACAGGCAAATTACCAAATGTATGTGATGATGTAAAAACATCTGCCTTTTATGGTAGTAGGTGATAAAAAAAAAAGTTGTTTTGTTAAATGGTTTATTTTCTACAATGTGAAAAGTTATTGAATTATAAGTACTTATAAATAAATATTTATAAGAACTTTTTTTGTTGTTTTTTTACACAATTACCGGTATATGTATTTATTTCAAAATTAAGATCTTTTGCGTCAACTTGAGTCTTGGTTCAACATCATTTATTAGAGTTTATATAAACTTGACTACTGTTGGTTCTCCTTGTTAGGTTGAACTAAATGTTAGTCCTTGAGTGAAGCAAATCATCTTTACCTGGTTTAATAAAACCAGTTTTCTAAATTGAATCAAGTCTGACTCTGTTCTGGTAAAAATATGGAATCAGCCCCAAGAGATTCTGTTCCATTACAGATATATTGAGTTACATCACTAGTCCTGGTTTTTGCTCTACACGGTTTTTTTTTTTTTACGTTTATTCAACAAAGTATTTTTGGACTGTACAGATTTACCAGTTATTTTCTGATGCGTTAATTTAAGATGTTATTAATTTGCTGAAACTGATGTTTTCTTCCAGGCTGCAGCGTATTCCTCGGAGGACGGCGTCTTGACAGAAGCGATGATCGATGCTCGGGTTGACGACGCCGTCAAGCAGCACCTTCAGAAGATGGACTGGCTGCGTGGTGAGGAGGAGGCGAAGAGTCTTACGCCTCCTCCTCCTCCAGCTGGGGGTCCAGGCAGCGGAGGGAAAATGGGTTTTAATCTACCGCTGAAGGAGACGCCTCAGGCTCAGGAGGTGATCGCTCCTGTCCTCGAAATGAATACAGAGCAACAAAGTGAAAGCGTGCTGCCTCCTTCTGACAGCGACCAATCAGCAGCTGGACCGGACTGTGAAGATGCTGCCAGAGCTGACTTTAAGACAACAGATGTGGGGTTAAACCAGCCTGATGCCTTCACTGACAGTGGGACAGGAAAACAGGACAAGACGGGCCCCTGTCCACCTAAGGATGGAACTCCAGTTTGAGTTCTGGATTAGAAACATTAGTGTCCTGCCCTCTTAGCTAGTTTGGGAGAGAGAAATCATTTTTCTTTCATAACGCAAATTAATGCCTGAAGCTTTCATTTTAATATATAATGTATACATTGTAAAAGTGTACTTAACTTAGTAGTAATGTGTAATAAATACACTATAATGTTGTGCAAAGTCAAGTTTCTCCGTTAAAATGATTAAAAAAACATTTTTTAAACAAGCATATTGTCCTGATTGTACACATAAATATTTTTGTGGTATAATTGTAAATTAGTAATCGGTTCATAAAACATGTTGAATGAGGTGAAAAAGACTAAAATGGTGACATAAAGGAGGCTAGTTCAGATTTACTTATTTATTTAGTTAGAATGCAGGAAGGATGCATTGCATCGTGTGAGTTTGCATTAGCAGGTAAACAAGAGTAAACTCAGAAGAAAGGGTGAGTGTCACATAAGGGCCTGTCAGGATCTGACTGAGGGAAGGTTTTAATAAAGAGAAGAGGATCTAACTTCTTGGTTTTTCATAAACCAGTTTTTTTTTTTTTTTTTAAACATAAACTTAATTTGAGATCTTTTTTCCAACTTGTTCCAGTACCATATTTTTCAGATTATAAGGAGCAATATCAATGAACGGGTCTGTTTTCATACATAAGCAAAACAAAACAGATAAGTCAAACTTTATTCAATTAATTTATAATAACTCAACATTGTTCAGTTGTACCACTTAAAATCATTTCGAGGTCAGCACAACCAGAATACATAAAGCGCACCTGATTACAAGGCTCACTGTTGATTTTTGATCAAATTTTAAGTGTGCCTTATAGTCCAAAAAATATGGTAATTTGTTTAAAATTGTGAGACAGCAATAATGAAAACTGTAAGGTTATAAAGCCAGTTTTTGACTTGATGAATTTCTTACAAGCTGTTGGGCGTGTGACTTCATGGAGTCTATAAAAAATGTATGCAACCAGACTGCGAGAAATAAATTGAGGATTCAATAAAACTTTATTCACAGTTCTTTAAAAAATGGGTCAAGTACAAAAAAGAACATACAGAACAACATGCAAAAAAATATGATAAAACTATAAATGGGAAACGATGTACGATTACAAACGAAATCTAAAAATCATCTGAGTCTGGGTTGGTCTGAGCTGAAAACTAGAAGTAAGCAAAGATAAACCCACATGATCCAGTACCGACAACTCATCTGAACCAGAACCACAGTCATGTTGCATTATGGATAAAAGTAGAGTTTAAACAAATAACATAAAAATAGACATCACTAATTTGGCTTCTTTTTATTGCCAACGTTATGTATTGTAACCCCTGAGAGAAACATTATTTAAAGGCTTGACTCATTTCTGCTTAAAGTTTTAATCTTTGTGTGTCAATCATTTTCTCTATGAAAATAAACCTTTGATACCACAGATTTAAAAAAGACATCCCTATCTGCACAAAATTGATCAAAATTAACATATTACTGTATATCTTGCTGTTTTTTATATAATAAAGTATTATTATTATATTCTCTTTTTGTCTTTCTCCTGTTAACTGCTTTTTCAGTGTCATTCAGAAGTGCACAGTATTGATTATTAGGGAAACATCAGTGTGTAAAGAGTTTTTTTTATTTTATTCTATGTTTTTTGAATCTGGTCATCAGCACATCTGAGTCTGTCAGCTCCGTCCTTGCTCACCTCCTCCGTGCTTTGTAGGCATAGCGGGATGAGTGAGTCCTTTGCGTTCCTAAATTTAGGTTTCCACGACAAAGAACGATCATCTAAAACAGAAAAAGTTAACATGGAAATTAAGCATTTACGTTGTTGCTATTGTACATAATTTTTTTTAATGAAATAACCATTTAATGACGAACCAAAGTAACAAATATGCAGCTGAGATTCAACATAGTGTAAAACTGACTGTATGCTTGGACAATGCTGAAAGTTTTCAGAACTTTCAAGCTTTTAAATCTTTTTTTGTTCATGACCTAACTTGGAAAATAATTCACAACTCACTTCATGCTGACTTTAACTGGCTTGAATGTTTCCTTTTATTACAAAGACTTAAAAGTCCTATTTAGACAATTGTTTAACCCTTTACTCACTTGACTAAAACTACTTTAAGCAGCTTCAGCTCTTAATGAGTGATCCTATAATAAAACCCTAACAAGTCTGAAAACTTTCCTTGCAGTGTAATCAAAACATTTCTGGTATTCTAACAACTTAACCACCATCAGATTCATGAAAACACAATCTGTGCCAGCTACTTACCTATAAATGAGCTCAAAATCACAACGAGCCACAATAAGAACCAGAAGATGAAGACACCGACGGCAACCAGTCCAGCCATCACAGGAATCACGTCAGTGACGTTTTGGGAGGAGTAAACCTCGACGGAGGCTTCGTGATATGGAACAACGTGATAGGCTTGCTCTCTGCAACAAACAGCAGGTTTGTTAGGAAACTTACAGTGAAGGGAAAAATATATATAGACAGTAAACTCTCAATGAAGATATAATCAAGAAATGTGACAGATTACTGACTGTAATATACACTGGTGCTTGAATGTTTGTGAATCCTTTAAATTTGTCTATATTTCTGCATAAATATGACTTAAGACATCATCAGATTTTCACAAAAGTCCTAAAAGCAAATAAAGAGAACCTTTACAGGACATGGACATGAAAAAAAATAAGACATAAAACAGGTCTGAGTGCTTTAAAAACAACAAAACGGTCCTCTGAAAATGATCTGACATGAAAATAAGAGAAAAAGTTGCCAAAAGCAAAACAGCAACAACTTTGACACACCTTCAGAAAACGTGGAGAACTGAATAAAACCACCTTGAAAAATTACAATTACATTTTTTTTTTAAATTCATTCATTCAACCTTTATTTAGACAGGTTAATCCCATTGAGCCTTGTGGACTCATTTACAAGAGAGACCTGATTTCAACAAAGAATGATGACAACAGTGGATAACAACGACAACAATAGACACTCATAAAAGAGGCATACAAATATATA